GCAAACTATCATTCGCGTCATTTTGTTGATGTGTGGCATAGGAACACCCAGAGTTTGAAGCCGAACTAAGCTAACGTTAAATTTTTATTTCTTAAAAAAGGGGATTCTCAATACTACGCTACAAAAATTTTTCTCTTAATGCATTCCTAGTACTGTTTCGCACACACACCACACCTAATGGTTTCCACAAAATTTCGTCGACAGTGGGAAATTGCAGGCATTATGGCGCAAGCAAACCAAATGGTCAAGTATTACGATGAGTAGTAGTCGTTCTATTTCACTGGGGCATTACTTTAGGAGACGATATATTTCTGTTTTTGGCGATGGGAAACACAGCAAAAACCTTTGAAATTAAGTGAATCGCGTTCACGTCACTGATTGGTCAATTTGTGAGAGAGCCGACACGGGCATTGGTCGGTCGTTGTATAACCTGCTCGTAAAATGCATTTGACATAACGAGAGTGATCAATTTAATCTCCATGGAAATGGCGTATGTTCACGTTCTGACCATGAAATAATAACTGGTTTTCGTAATAATGAACACAACTGTTCCCGCATCAACTACTTACAATAGCAGTCAGCAGGCTGTACACACCTCCGCTGCTTGCGAATTCACAACATTTGAATTTGTAGGCTACTTCTACATTCTCACGATAGTCTGCTTCATTGGATGCATTTTTAACTTCATAAATATCATCGTCTTTGCCCAGAAATGTTTCCGTGCAACGGTTTACACTTACATGTTAGCCATCTCCTTAACGGACGCGATTGCTCTCTTGGTGAATCTGCCAACAGGTCTCGGAAGGTAAGCTTCACTGCATCTTCATACTGTTACCCGATCCTCTTTGCCAGTCTTTGATCTCTCAAGCATTAGCATGGTTCGCAGAAGGCGAAACACGCTATTTAAAAGTCCAACACAGTTGTGTCTCTATGCTTTCGTCAAGCCCCGATTTAGCTGAGAACATCCAATTCTAGCTTAGATGATAATTCTCAATTATATGTAGCGCCTGAAGCGTATATAAGGTTGTTTGATGTGGTGCAGAGAGCGTTTTTAGATATGACAAAGGATTTGTAAATTCCAAGGAATTCTAGTGCACATAAACTAGAGGGTGATTTGATAGGGCTTAGAGTGGTTTCAATAACCTGAATACTCTTGTCC